TATTCTCTTTCTTCTTTCAACTTTTTTTTCCGCATCCAATTTACATTTTTTTCTCTTTCTTTTTTCTTGCTTCTGCCTTCCTCCCTCTTTTGATTTCTTCTCACATTTTTCACCCCATCTTCATTTTCGTTCTTTCTTTCCTTCGTTCTTTCTTTTTTGTCTTTCTTTCTTTCTTTCTTTCTTTCTTTCTTTCCTTCTTTCTTTCTTTCTTTCTTTCTTTCTTTCTTTAACTAGCTCCAAAGATTTCTCCCTTTCGTTCAAATTATTCTTTCAAATTATGCTTTTAAATTATTATGAAAATACCGTCATGACTGGCCTCTTTCGACTTGTGCGCGCCGATTTGCGTGCTCGTCGCGGACATTTTCCCTTTTAATTTTTTTTGCACGCCTCTTCAAAACGAATGCAAACCCATCTGTCGCCTTGCCTTTACATATTGCTGGAAGAAGCTGGTGCATTGGACGGAAACTTCGATGTGCACATCAGGACAAAAAACAAATCGATAAAAAAAATTCCTTTAAAATGAAGAAAATAAAGAGAGGAATACAAAACAAACAAACAAAAAAAAAGAATGAAAAACAAAAAAAGATGAAAGAAAAGAAATAAACGAAAAGAGACAAAAAATTCAAAACAACGTTCCTTCATTAATTCTATTGAATAGTCTATTGAGAGATTTCAAAAGGTTCATTTTTATGAAAAAAAAAATGTTTTGTAGAGGCCTTGTCATTAAAGTGAACAAATACACATTGCAACGTGCTTATGCCCAAATATAGGCAAATATGTTTACTATGGCAAGAGGGCGCCCTTTTTCGGGCGAACCATAGTCAAATGTTTGACACCAGCACCAGCAGTTCAAACTTTTCTCTTTAACAAGCCGCGAGAGTTCCACGTAGCATGACACGAAGCTGAATATTCTTCAAATATTCGGCTTTGGCTTAAAAACTGGAAAGTGATACAGATAATTACCAAATATTTCAAACATTCCGAGATACTTCAACACGGATCGATTGATGAGGCTCCTTAACACGTAGTTGTAGATAAGAGAGACTCATGTGATTGAGCTTCGGCTCGTGTTTGCGCCAGGAATATTTCGAATTAAAAGACATTAAGATTTATTTCATATTTTCTATTACTATAGTTGTATTGAGCTATTTGTAATTTACACATACTTGCGAGAAAAGCAAGTTATCAGACTTTATAAATAAAAATAAAGATATAGAATTTATTCGTCGTCCTATATGAGAGATGATCGTAAACACAACGTATAGACAATGAGCAGTTTTGTAATATTATAAACATGACACGAATATTTCTAAATTCTAACAGTGTACAATTTAATATAATTTGTGTGTATATATATATATATATATATATATATATATATATATATATATATATATAAGATATAATCTTTACGCGTTTTTTCGTTTTTTTTTCTTTGGATTTTGAGCTTGAAATTTGGAAGATTGTTTTCGCCTTAGTTTAATGTTCTTGGTTCTTTCTTTTTTATTCCTCATTTTTCCTTGGGTACCGATTTGTTCTATTACAAGTCGAACTATCAAGGTTTTTCCAAGTAACCTCATTTTTACCTATATATATATATATATATATATATATATATATATATATATATATATATATATATATATATATATATATATGGTCTGTTGTTGCATTGAGCTCTCTGGATTACATCCTATTTTAAATTATCACACGGATTACCAAACTCTTCATTACCCATAATACACACACACACACACACACACACACACACACACACACATATATATATATATATATATATATATATATATATATATATATATATATATATTGTAGGTTAAGAAAGGGTTTGTTAATCGGTGTGGATTATTCCAAAGGGGATGTAATTCAGAGAGCTCAATGTAAAAACAGAGCAAATATTAAATAGATAATTAAGAAAGAGACAACCTTAAGCTTCCATGACTATAATATATTTCCTCAGAAAATATATTTTCCTGGTTCATCAAGTCACATCTTCAGTTACAAAGGAATTTGCTTTCTTTTATTTTTAATACAAGATTTGAGGGGTAGTTTTAGATTGATATACGGTTACAGAGGGGACGGTTGGGGGGAGGACTATAGAATGATCCATATTGGAAAAGGTAAGTAGGGATAGGGTTATTTTAAAACCATCTTTAATAATTTACGTTGGTTCAAGTTTTGTTTTTCATTCAAGCGGCCAGGCAATTTGACTTCTTAAATAATTTTTAGACAAGAAGAGAAAAGAAGACAAAAGGAAGGAGACAAATTGTAAAGCAGGAGAGGGAGGGAAATAGGGAAGAAGTAAAAAGAAAGAAAGAATTAAAAGGGGAGGAGAGGAAGAAAGAAGATTGAGCTATAAAATGTAGGCATATCACGGCGTCACTTCAAAAACACACATCAATGTAATTTGAGCGTCACAGATGCAGATGTGGAGCCTCCATCGATGAGTTTGGTTTGCATCCTCTCTCCTGTCGTCGTAGTGCCGGCCGCTTTCCACGGCATGCTGCCATTAACAACATCATCAAAAGAGGTTTGGATGCAGCTGGATTCCCTTCCCAAATCGAACCCGTAGGCTACGACCGAGATGATGGAAAGCGGCCGGATGGCATTACCATTTTCTCTTTTAAAATGGGGAAGTCGTTGATTTGGGATGCGACCTGTGCAGAAACATTTTCGGCCGGTAATTTGATCATGTCTACGGTTGAGCCGGGTTCCGTCACCCGGGACGCAGAGATGAAAAAAAATAGTTAAATATTCTCTTTTTTTTTTTTACTCCTGTGGCAGTAGAGACTTCAGGTGTTATTGGCCCTCGTTTCGATGACGTTCCTTCGAAGGATTGGCACGATTGCGTCTCGATTAAGGGACGAACCTCGTGAAACGGAGTGGCTCTTGAAGCGTGTCTCACTATCGATGGTTCGAGGTAATGATTTCTCCATCATTGCGGCTGGCAGAGGATAGAAAAAAATTGTTTATAGTTACGTTGTTCTGGAATTGTCATCAATGGTCAACTGAACTTGTTTTGTTTCAATAAAGTTTTTATTTGCTTGTTTAAAAAAATTAAAGTAGCCGATATTGATTTAAATAATATAATTCATAGTTATTACATAAAGTATTTCAGAATACCATTTAAGTTTATAAAAAATAAAAAAAATACTTAATCAATGAAATTAAATAGCTATTCTTTGCCGACATTTTCAAAGATTTTTCTTAAACAATGTTGAAAAAAGCTGATAAATGAAATATACATATTTATATTTAATATTTAATATTTAATAATAAGTTTTAAATAATTTAGGTAATTCTATTATATTTATTTGTTTTAAAAGAAGGATAGCCTTAGAATTAGGAATACTATTTTAAAATTGTAGTTCAGTACGACGTACTCATACTCATATACAAACAACCCTTTTAGAAAAAAAAAATCTTTATTTACACAATTATAAATTTAACGGCGAAACAAATGTGACGAAAAACATTTTGTCGTTGATAAAAACCAGACGACATGAGTTGAACTGATGTCATCATTCCTTGAACAATTAACCCTTCCCAACCCTAACTTAACCTATTTTCGAAAGTATCTAATATTTTGATACAATAGTTGTCAGTGAAAATGAATACCTCCCACCTCTTGTCAAAATGATTGAATTTCCCCGTATCCTTATAAAGTAATGTTATGAAAGTATATGCTTATAAAACTCAGTAAATTTCAAAATAAATTATTCCAAAATTAGCTTGAAAATGAAACGGGACTAGGGATTTTATTTTAATTCTGTTATTGAATTTACATTTTTTAGTTTCTTCTTTTGAAACAGGGTAATTCTGTGTAGTGATGGAACCATATTTTAAATTATTAAATTTATCATATATATATATATATATATATATATATATATATATATATATATATATATATATAAATTTCAAGAGGATAGAATCCAGGTAGAACTCAATATCAGGACAGAGTAAGAATATAATATAAATATTATATAATATAAATATTATATTATATTATATTCTTACCTGTCCAGGACATTGAGTTCTACATGGATTCTATCCTCTTGGAATTTATGTAAATAAGTAATAAATTATAACCATAGAATTTTATTGTTTGAGCCTTTTTTATATATATATATATATATATATATATATATATATATATATATATATATATATATATATATATATAGTAGAGGCCATAATATAAGGAACGGAAACAACTAAGACATAAATATGCGTATTACATAAAAAGTAATGCATGATTAGCAATGAAATTTTTACCGAATAAAGATTAGGGTGTAATGCATAAATATTATACAAAGTTACAAACATTTACATAATAGTTTTTTTTAAAAATAAATATTAAATGGAACAAAGGAAATAAGCTACTGGACAAAACTTAAGGAACGATCTTGTTAATACTTGATTGTGAACAAAATATCAACAAAATTTAATATTCGGTAAACATTCCCTTATTTTCAATGACTTCACTGCCTTGTCGACCACATGATCTAATTAATTTCTTGCAAAAATCATGCATTACTTTTTAAGTAATACACATATTTATGTCTTTGTTGTTTCCGTTCCTTATATTATGGCCGCTACTGTATGCTAACTATTAGTGGTTAGTAATTTTAATGTTATTCCTATCTAAATTTGAGTATTTTATTTCTATGCCGTTAACTGAACATTTGTTTAAAGTAGTCATATTTTATATGTTTGTATCTCTCCGTGTACAAACATTGAAACACCTGTCCATAGACTTTTTTTTAAAGTGTAACCTTCTTGCAACTTACTTTTTTTTCGTGAACTCACCGCTACTTTGAAATGTATTTCTGCAGGAAACTTTATATATATTGATGTAAACAAAGTATTTGCTATATTTCTTTCCACATTTAGACAAATGCTCATAGTTTTATATTCAAGCCTCTGGCTGCTTTTTTTTCATATACCGTGTTGCCTTTGTTTGTATTTTCAGCCTAACTAGTGTTCTTTATACGTATTTATTTTTTTCATAGCTTTATCCATTTGCCTTTGAATAAACCTGCCAATGAACGGGCCTTCGCCTTCACACTTTCAAATGCCTTTAAGATGTTTATCTGGCTGTCCTAAAAATTATGTTTCGTATTATTCCAGAGGTTATTGTGTAGGAATAATTGTAGATCAGAATTCCGTCATTTGTAGCTATTTTATAGTGCTGTTTACTTTAAAATATTGGCATTGTTTAAAGTACACCCTTGTGCAAATTAATTAAAACAACCACTTTAGTTTCCTTTCTTTCACAATACAGTCAGTTTTAGACCCACTGGAGTGACATGATGTAATCGATTTAATTTTTTTTTCTTCAGATGAGGT